TTTTTAAGGGTATTAGCTATGACTGGAATCTAGCTGGTATTCTCATAAAAATATCTATTTCCCTTGCATAAGTATTAGAATAATAAATAGATATTAAAAATATCTATTTATTATTCTAATACTTATGCAAGATACTTAAGCAAGTTAGTTATTTGTAGATTTATCTTGAAGCTTTTACTGGTAGGATTTATTCTGTTAAGAATACTTTGCAAATGATGACAGAGGAAACAAATTTAATAATCTTTAATTTTAGCATACAAATTTTGTGCTTCATGTTTTACTGTTTTATTGAAAATGCCATTGGTCATTATTTCATAAAATGACGGGTAATTCTCTCACTGCTGTTAGCTTCGAATTCACATGCCTACCAGATCTGATAGCTGCTTCAGCGTTGAATTGAATACTAATTTTGGATTCCAAGAACTGCTCAATTAGTTAAGCAACTACTTGAGCAACTAACTAGCTGATCAAAATAGCAGTTTTAGGACGAAATGAAAAATGAAAATCTGGTTAATGATATGAATGGAAAGTTTTTAAACTGGAAACATCAGAGAGAATAAAATGACAGTATTGTGAAATTCGGAAAAGGAATAAAACCCAAGCCAGGAAGGAATTTTTAATGAATTCCTAGATTCAACAATGGTTTTAAGTTTAGAGATCAGAATCTGAAGAATCTTTGCTGGTAGAAAGTGTGAGTTTTCTGTTACAAACCTTGCAACTCCATCAGTGCATGCACGTTTTTTAAGCACTTTCGGAATAATAATAATAATAATATTTTAATGAGTAAATTTCAATTTTGCAATGCCATTTCCAATATGAGATTAAGATTAGAATGGAATTTTTGATTCATTCATTCGTAATTAAGTTAACTTCAATAGCGTTAACAATATTGACACCTAGACGGTTTTGCTGCCTGACAGTTCGATTTTTGGAATAGTCTGCCAACGGCTCGTTTGATAGAGTGATTGACCAGTTTTTCAGACTTCTATCAGAAATTTAATACCTTATAACATAAATTAACTATTAAGTTTTATACTACTGTGTATAATATTCATATATAAATATCTTCATAATTTTAATATTAGTCACTCGTTATATTTAGATAGTTACTCATCATACGTCAAGAATTACAGTAAAATCCCGCCAGTCGCTTTATAAGGTATTTCTCCCACTTCCCTAGCGTGCCTTCGTGCTGTAACGGTAACACGCTGGGCCGGTATTCCAGAGGTTTGTGGTTCGATTCCCGGCGAAGGCGGTTGCATATTTTACATCTTTTCTGCTTTCAATTAACCTGATGACTCTACAAGTGGCGCCCGAACTAAAAAAGGGTTGTGGATGATGATTCTCCGCTCCCAGGATTTGGCGACTAGGTCCCCTAAAACCCTAGTCGCCCTTTAAAAAGGGGAGTATATAAGGTATTTCTTCCACTTCCCTAGCGAGCCTTCGTGGTGTAATGGTTCTGCAGACTGGGCCTGTATTCCAGAGGTCTGTGCTTCGATTCCCGGCGAAGACGGCTGCATATTTTTCATCTTTTCTGCTTCCAATTAACCTGATGACTCTACAGTTTAACTAGAGAGTACAAAGGGGTGGTACGCCCTTGGCGGCACATTGTTTTGCGGGGAGGAGAGGGCAGAATTTCAGTGAAATATTATTTTATACGGTTTTATCATGTGGATCATGGATTATTCACCATGCGTCAGGGACTGCAGTATAAACCTCACCGGTGAAATGACGATGAGTATAAACCTCATCGTCTAGGTGTGACTTAACAAGAGAAAGCAGAGTTTGGGGGTTTGGTTTATTTTATTACGGCAATGTACACAAGGGCTATCTGCCTAAGGGAAGGGATAGCTTCGTAGAGAACTTTCTAAGGGTAACTGGCTCATATATACGTTACACATGCAGAAAAACACGAAAACGCCCGTATGCCAGGATTCGAACCCCGGTCCGAACTACCACTGTTCAACGACTTCCCTGGTAGGCCTTGAGAGCTGAAAAGTGGTAGGCCTTGAGAGCTGAAGAGTGGTATGCCCTAATCGGTACATTTGGGAGGGTGTGAAGTTTTACAGTGAAATGTTGATCTATAGGACTTAGTCAGTTGGATCACCGAAACAAGTAAAGAACAACGAGATTCTACATTACATTATCGAATTAAAATTGAGAGAAAACATAGCTTTTACTCTAGATAAACACAGTATTCAAAGAAATCAGCACGTGACTTTAAAGCTATTTACTTTATTTATACCTTCTTCAGTCGAAATTTTTGAATGAAAAATGCAAATATTAACTAAATTATGACAACAATGACATTAAGAGAGAAATATTTCAGATTTTATTTCCATTATTATTAAAAGAAAGCGAAACAGGGTCCTGAAAAAGCTGTCCTTTTGAAGTTTTGCAGTTTATTTTTTGAATACTTTCTCAAGAACAAGTTCTAAATATTACAATATTATTGCAAACTTTTCTCGCAGTTGTTGTATGCTCTGCTAACTGTGAGAAGAATTTGCCTACTGTCTGCATAACAACTTGCAATCAATTCCAGTTGTTGCATAACAAGAACAATATGTTGTTATGTTGCATAACATAATCGAAATATAAATGCATCTTAACGGGCATGGTGGGGAAAACAGGATTGACTCACATTCGTGTCTATTTTTAGCCCAAAGGGGCGTTAGCTCAGAACGGCTATTAGCCTCGAAACGGCGTTTTGCGTAGAATCACTTAAAAGCATTGAATCACTTTTCAGATTGTTGCCACCAAATATTATCGCCCTGTATTATATTTAAGGAAATTAAATAATGAAGAATCTGCAGAAATACATGTATATTTTTCGCATTATGAAAAAAATAGAGGTACCTACAGCCATGAAATTTTGAATAACGTTGTCCTACACGCGAACATGGCCACTTGGAAGCTCGAATTTGGAATTGCGAATTTGATTTATTATCTTTTTTATATTTTGTAAAACTTTGATGAAATTTGATTAACAAACTCAACGATTTCAAAACGAGCAGTGGCAACATGGTACAGAATAAAACGCTTTTATCTCCCGTACTCCAGACTAGAACTAAGAAGAGAAGATATATGGTCACTTTACTTAACCTGTTCCGCCAAACTAAGTTAATGGCACTACAGGGTTAGGAAGTCATTTTAGTCATTGCTAGCAATCTGACGGTTAGGCCGCTTTTCTACATTTTACATTAATCTGTAGTTTCTTGGATGTAATTATTTTCATTCACTTGGTTCATTATCTCTAAGATGCCCTTGTTGCAGTAATAGTCCGTGAACAGTCTCTTCGCAGGATATGTGATGTAGTCGGAAGGAAAGAACTGCTGTCGAAGGTGCTCTGTCAGAGGGCAGGAGATCAGGTAATGAAGTGCGTACGCGTCTTCCCCGCGAAACCCGCAAGAACAGTTGACGTCCCGTCTGAGGAATCGTCTGTAATACCCTGGGAATTTCCTGTGGTTGGTACAGGCTTGGAGGAAGAGTCGGTTGCATTTGAGCCTCTTGAGAGAAGGTATTGGGAAGATGTTGTAAGTAAATCTTCCTGTCTCTTCTTCCTGCCATCGCGATGACCATGTGTCTTGAAATGTTGTCTTGAGGAGCCTTTTGCAACTTCTGAGGAAAGCGGAACTTCCTTTGCTGCTTCTTTGAGTGCTGAGGATTCGGCATGGAAGACTGAAGCATGGTTGCTTAGACGGAATTGTGCTTGATAAATTTCTTCATTGTTCGAAAAGACCGTGAACGGGGCCCCTACTCGTCCTGAAATTTTTGAACCGTCAGAGAAAATCTCTCTTTGTTGTCCTGAGGGTGCCGATTTGCACCAGGGAAGGATGGGTAGATCTCCTGGGTGTAAGTCAGGGGGATCTTGGAGGCTTTCTATGCTGACATAGGATAGATGTAAATCTTCTTTAGTGTGAAGGTCTTCTTTGTAGTGTAGAAGTCGATAGATTGATCTTTCTAATTCTGCTTTTAGGTAAGAAGAGAAGATGTAGTTCATACACCTTTTCTCCCTGAAGCAGGAAGTGAGGTGTGATGACGTAGCCATGTCGACATGGCTACGTCATGCAAAGACGCAATTCGCAGCAAAGAAATAAAAGTTTTAAATTTGGAAAAAAAAAAAAAAGTCTTAAAAACATTGTGCAAGAAAAAATAGCCTTAATTTAGAAGAGAAGATGTTATTATTGTAAGCATTTACAACGTTAAAAAAGTTAATAATACCTATTTATTAATTTTAAAGCAATAGATTAAATACGCTACATTTTCTGTCCCTGTGCACTTATTGTTAAATCACGAAGGAAAAAAACTAGGGCATTCATTATCTTTTCTTCATCTGCATACTAAGGAGAGAATTCTATTACTCTTTCTAAGATAACTATAATAACAGCTTTTTAAAGCCTCACGTTTATACACATGCATCACATTTAAGTAAATACAAGATCGTTGTCTTAGGTTTGACAACACAACTTTACTCACAGTATCTAAAGAGAATTACGTAATCTTTCAAAAGAGGAGCAAAGAAGTAGGATCTTTTTTATGCGAAATTACTTTCGCCAAGAGGGAAAAAACTTGAGAATAAATAATGACAATCATTCTTTTGCACGATTTGTGACATTTGAAATTGAATAAATGAATAATTTAGGTAATTAATTTTTTCATAGTTTAAAAGGTATAATATGAATTTTATCATTTGCTATTTATATCAAAATCATTAATTTTTTATTTTTGTTCTATACCTTTGAATGAACATTAGACTAGTAATTTAATTGCTTTCGCATAACAGTGAAAATTGGTGCATATCATATTGTTGCCAACAGCCAACAAAAATTAGTAAATATTTCTTCGAAATGATAATCATTACCAGCATTGTTTAGGAAAATGGATGGAACTCTTATAATCACTCATAGATGGCGCCACAGGTTCTTGTTAGATGGATTGAAACGTTTTCTCAACTTTTCTCACTTTACATTTCGATTTAACTGTGTGTGATGTGTCTTCTTATGATCTGGGAATTGCATGTGGTATGAGCACTGTCAGTAAAAGGCAAAAATCGCGTCGCCGGTTAGCAGCCTATAGCTTTTTATCAAATATTTCATTGGATGGCACTCATAGAGACACTAAAATAGGAATATATAATTTAAGTTTACAAACTGATTTCGTGAAATGTAACGTTGCAGTGAAAACAGTGAATTCTGTCAGTTCATCTACTAAGAAGAATGTTTTACAGCCTGAGTCTCACAATGAACGCATTAGTAGACTTGCTGTTAGCGAAGAAAAGCTTCAAACATACAGCGGTCAGCACACCGGAAGCAGCCCAAGGGAAAGGTAAGTCTTTGACAACACGAGCATTCCGTTTGTTTTGTTTATTTTAGAAGAGATCGAAACAAAGTTTGTTTACAGGCCGGGAGTAAAAGATCGTCTTGTAAGCATTTGCATTAATAAAACCGCAATTTAAGCATCTTTGGTTTGTTTTTAATCAAAAAATAACTTTTATTATTAATTCTTAAGTCATTTCAATTGAACTCATTTCTTTTTCATCGCTTTGTGCTCTTTTTTTTCCGCCAGAACTGACTTTTTCATTAATTTTTTCCATGTATTTGAAGAAGTAAATGTTAAATTTATGAAATTCTCTATTAAAGGTACGTGCAATCTATTACTATCGGTAATTTCGTATATTGTTTGCTTAAAATTTGAAGCGTATAGTTTCATAAAAATGTTAATTTATAGATGTTGGAAGCTATTTTTTAAAACTTCTATCATGAAAAAATAAATAAGTAAAGACATTTTGATAATCCTAGCATTTGTTTTCCGTGAGAGAGAGCCTGACACGTGCAGTTTCATTAATTAGATTAGTTAACATTTTACTGTCATAGCATGGGCTTAAAATAATATCCTTATATATATAGTAAACTGTGATTGTTATTATGCAACTTTGTTTCCTAATTGAATGCAAATATTATCACATATCTAGTATTACTATTAAACTTTATGTTTAATTTTGGTATAATGCATCATATTGTATGTATCAGAAAATGCTTTTATACTGTCTTCAGATCAAAGTCAGTTTTGAAATTCTATATATATGCATGTAACTTTGAATAATTTTAATTATTCTGAGCTAACTTATGTTATAATTATGAAAGAGATTTAATTTTATGTCAGTAATAAAATTTTACACAAATGTAAATAAAACATGGCCATATTTTGGCATGAAGTATGCCCATATATTTTAATGATAAAAATGAATGATACCTTGTTAAATTTGCTATTTTAGAAGTCTGTATGAGTTGCCATAAGTTTGTAAAAGTGTTGTATTTTGAATAATGCTATTTTTAATTATGAAAATGTGTTTTAAATCAAGCGTCACTGGCTTAAAAAATCAAGCTGTTGATAATTAAATTTGAAAGACTAATTATTTGTCAATTAACTTGTGAAGAAGAAATATTGGTAACATAATCTGAAAATACAAGTATGGAATAATCTCATGGAAAAGTTCAAGTAGTGTACATTATATATGCAAGATACTAATAGCTATTAATTTGTAAATTTAGGTTTTCGTAAGCATTTTTAGAAATATAAAATAAAATACATTTTCAGATTAAATTTTAAAAATATAACATTTCAATTATGAATTGCCATCTTATCCAAAATCATTCATTTATATCTTTTGATATTTCAACAAAAAAATTTTTCTTTTGTTTATGATTTAAGGAAAAATATAAAATGCTTGAATTTCACGTATTACTTAAATCTTATAACTTAAAATCATGCCAGTGTGTAGATCATATTTAAAAATGTGATTTTTGTAAACTGTAACTTCAAAAGTAATTGGTGGTAGCATTGATTCCGCTAATAATAAAATTGCAGATGCTTTCTTCAAACAAAATATACTTCACATCCATAACAATTTGTTCTTAAATATTTTGCTGCAATTTTGTGAGTTTTATAAAAATCCAATATATTTCTAAATATTGAGTGAATTACAAAAACTTATAATTGACAAAATGTATGGTTTTGCAGTAGAGCGTTTTAAACCTGTGTAGCATGGAATTTGTGACATTTATTATTATTATTATTATTTAAAACTTAAATGTTAGTTCACAGATCTGGAATCCATGTATGATGCAACATTTGCTATAAAATAATTTTCTCATTTTCAAAATTAATATTATTAGCAACATTTTATATTATTAAGACACAATAACACGCCGAATAAATACTGATTCAGAAGTCAAACAACAAAAATCAGTGTTATTTTTTTTGTGGGGTTTTGTTAATTTTGTGAATTAACGCTGATTTTTGTTGTTTGACTTCTGAATCAACATTTTATATTATTATGTTCAAGAATATAATAATCAATTGTAGCATGTTTATCTGTTATTCATTAATACTGATAAAAAAATAAACTTGGAAGAAATTTCAAGAATATTTTTATTTTTGTGTAACATTGTTTTTCAAAAATATATTTTACTTTTTTATTTTTAAATTTCTTCCAGTAAAATTATTTAATTATTTTTATTTTTAATAGTGCATGTTTTTATTAACTCATCACTTGCATTTTTTTGTCATATATGTTGGTATTTCATATAGAACATTGCCATCTCTAAAGAAATTTCTAATCATTTCAGGCAATTTTAATTTTTAGTTGACTGTTTTGATGTAATAGTATATTGAATTTAGTGGTATGCTGAAAATCTTAAAATAGTCTGAAAGTTTTAAATTTTATTTTTAAGTCAAATGCAGAACATCTCAGCTCTGAGGAACTACAAGTGCTGTTCCATTTCAAAATGCAAGTGGTACATTTCACTGATAAATGTTATTTGTACACTCATGAAACTTTAGGAACATTTTTTTTGTTTTTGTTTTTGTTTAAGGTTTAGATCAGGAGTGGGATTTCACAGTTCAGGAGAGGGGAATATTGTGAGCTTTTTATTCACTTCTTAAATATTTATTTTTAGTTTATGAATATAAAGAACTACTCTTTTTTGAAGTTTTGGCATTTATCTATATTTTCTATCCTTTTTCTAGTTTAATTTAAAAAACACTTAAAAAATAAACTAAATTTAAATAAACATATATTTATTTCTATTATGGATTCTGGTGCTGTTCAGTCAAAATTGGGATGGAGCTGAGGGATATTGCCTATTTAAATGTTTTACTTAAAATAATCCAATCACACTTTTCCTCCCAATTTTTTATTTTTATTTATTTATTTTTGAACTGTTGCTAGAAGGGATAGGTTCAAACTTCTCTGTGATTTTGCAGTGCCATGTAAAATAATATATATATATATATAATAATGCATTTTCCAAAGAAAGTAAATTATTGCTTTATGTTCCTTTGGTTTTTGAATTGATTCAATTCAAATTTTTGTTACTTGTCATCACTAAATGTGTGATAAAATCCTTTTATGTTGCACTTAAAATACATGTAGCTTTTTTCCCTCCCATGTTTTCCTAATTATATGCATAGAGTATTATTAATAATATGAATTGAATGATATAATAAATTAAATATATATATATATGTAGCTTATTTTGTTAAATATCATGTTAATTTTTATTTTACTCTTAATTGCAATAAAATATAGAGATGCTGAGGTTTAAAATAGGAAAGGTTATAATGCGTGATTTTAATGCTGTGATGACTTCGTGGTTTAATAAGGCACCATTTAGCAAGACGAAACAAACATTTATTAAATATATAATTCAAAGCATAATATAATAGTTACTCAGAGCAGTACGTCGCTCCTACCGCATAGTACAATCTACTACCTTCCTCTTCCGAGGCTAACATGCAACTCCTAATAAATACATTAACCCTTCTCGAAGAAGAGCTACCTGCGCCAAGCATGCTCTGTTGATCGCCAAACAGTCGCCAGATATATCACACCCCCGTCGTAAGATTGTTGTTGATATTATTTACAAAATCAATCAGCAATCTGGAAACTAAAATCTAGCAACTGTTTGCGATCAACGTGAAAAAGAAAAAAAAAACTACATATACTTTTATACATTCTATCCTAATTTTCAAATCTCAATTACTATAGACATACCTCAATTTACTACATAAACATAGATAACACATTTTTATATATAAACATAGATAAATCATTTTTAACTTCACTTGTTCTGAACCTTATTATTATTGTAACAATTTATCAATTCTTAATTCAAAGAAACCAAGTTGATATTTTCTTTTATAAACATGTTAAAATATACCCTAGTATATTCCAATGAGTAAATTATTAACCAAGTTGATATTTTCTTTTATAAACATGTTAAAATACCCTAGTATTATTCCAATGATGACAGTAAAATTATTAAGTTTCTTATATATATATATAAATTATATTCTTAACATTCCTTTTAATTAATGATGCTGCAGCATGATTTAAATCCTTGGGAGACAAATATCTAAATTTACCACTTACCTCGAATATTTGTTATCCAATAATTTTTCTATTTCAAATTACATAAACATCTTATTTGCACAAAATTGTAAAATGATTATGAAAAGCAAAGAAAACTATCTAATTATTAACTATACAAAATGTTCGTGAAGATGAACAGTAAATTAATGTTCAAAGTTCACAAGTGGGAAGTCTGGATAATGCATCCGCGTTTGACAGTTTTTTTCCAGGGCAATGTTCTATTTCGAGATTATATTTCTGCAAAGCTATGGCCCATCGTTGTAATTTGGACGATTGCGGAGCATTTCTCACTATAAAGGCTAGAGGATTATGATCAGTCACAATTTTCACCGATGAACCGAATATCCAAGGTTCAAACTTCTTCAATGCCCATACTATAGCATAAGCTTCACGCTCTATAGTCGGCCAGCTCTGTTGAGGTTTCGATAATTTCTTGCTCGCGTAGCAGATGGGAAATTGCTTCTCTCTCCCCTTTGCTGTGACAAACATGCACCTATTCCGATTTGGGATGCATCAGAATGAATGACAAACGGATCCTGCAGTGTTGGGGTGATCAGCTCCGTTGACATCGCTAATCGTTCCTTCAGTTGTTGAAATGTTGACTCATGAATTTCTTTCCATTCGAGTATTTCCGGTTGTTTATTTTTCGTGAGTTCTGTGAGTGGGTAGGCGATCTCTGCATACCCTGGGATATAATCGCGATAATAATTACATAGTCCTAACAGACTTTTAAGATCTCTTTTCGTTTTCGGCGTTTCCAGCTTCTTGATTGCCTCTATTTTCTCGGGATCTGGTTGATGTTTTCCTGATCCAATGATGTGTCCTAAATATTTAATTTGAGGTTTGCAAACGAACATTTCTTCGAATTGATAGTAAATCCAAGTGACTCTAG